CACCTTTTCTTCCCTCTTTCTTCCTTCTCTCCCTCCATCCATTCTTCCCCTTTCTTTCTCTCTCTCTCTCTCTCTCTGTCTTTGTTCCTTCGTTCGTTCATTCCTTCCTGTCTGTTTTTCTTTCTTTCTTTCTTTCTTTCTTTCTTTCTTTCTTTCTTTCTTTCTTTCTTTCTTTCTTTCTTTCTTTCTTTCTTTCTTTCTCTCTCTCCCTTTCTTTCTTTCTCTCTCTCTCCCTTCCTTCCTTCCTTCCTTCCTTCCTTCCTTCCTTCCTTCCTTCCTTCCTTCCTTCCTTCTTTTTTCCTTTTATTTTTTTGAGACAGGGTCTCACTATGTAACCCAGGCTGGCCTCGCGTCCACAGTCCTCCTGCCTCAGTTGCCCAAATTCTGGGCTTGTTAGTATGGCCAGCTGGTTCTATTTCTTCCCTGCTGATGCTGCTGTCTCCCAGTTACATCTCAGCGTCTCTATTGATCGATAGTTTCTGGGCCCAGCTCTTGCTACATAGGCTCCAAGGACCCCTGGCTACGGGAAGAGCTTGTGGTCACACATATCTGGCCCTGCCTTCTGTCTGCACTTGTGGAAAGGCACACTCTGGGGAGTGGGGTGGGTGGGTATGGTAGCCATGTTGACAATCTCAGTTCTCAGGAGGTGGAGGTAGGAGAATCAGGAATCCAAGATCATCCTTAGCTACCTGGTGAGTTTGAGGCCAGCATGGGCAAATGAGACCCTGCCTCAAAAAATAAAAAGAGAGGACAGCATATACCCTAAAGGTATTTTTTGGGGGGAGGTTGAGATAGGGTTTCTATGTGTAACAGCCCTGGCTGTCCTGGAACTCACTCTGTAGACCAGGCTGGTCTTGAACTCACAGAGATCTGCCTGCCTCCTGAGTACTGGGATTAGAGGTGTGAACCACCACTGCCCAACTTCCTAGAGGCACTTGTAAGAGTGCCACCTATGTGTGGGAATGGTTTCAGTGTTGCTCCAGGGAGAGGTAGTCGGAACACTGTGGTGGGTGTTGCACACTCTGCATGAACACACACAGGCGAGGTGCCTGCTAGCCTGTGGGTTTTGAGTGTGAGTCAGTAACTTGGGTTACACCGCTGGGTCGCTCAGCGCGCCCTGCACCAGCTGTCACTCTTCTCCGACTGCAGGCCGTGGGGCATCAACTCCTAAATACATATCCCCTGCTTGATCCATCTATCCATCTGCCATTCACCCACCTATCACCCATATAACCACCCATCATCCATCCATCCATCCATCATCTGTCTTTATTCCTGTTCTATTTCTGGGAAGAGATATCATTCTGTTCCCACAAGCATGAAATAGAGAGTTCCGTGGGAATGTTATGGACTTTTGAAACCTTAAAGCCAATCCCCAAAGACACATCTCCTCCAACAGGACCATGCCTCCTAATCCTTTCCAAACAGTTCACCAACTGTGGATCAAGCATTCAAATATTTGAGCTTTTGGGGGGCATTCTCATTCAAATCACCATGGATGGATGGATGGATGGTATGGGGATTTGAATCAGAATTGCTCCCATAGATTCATATAGTTGAATATTTGTTTCCTATTTGGTGAACTATTTAGGGAGGACTAGGTGTGGCCTTGCTGGAGACAATGTGTCACTAGGCTTTGGGGTTTCAGAAGCTCACACCAGGCTCAGTATCATACTCTCTGCCTCCGGCTTGTAGATCGGATGGCACCATGCCTGTCTGCCTCCTGTCATACTTCCTGTCGTGATGTCCTATGAAGCTGTAAGCAAGCCCTCAACTGAATGCTTTCTTTTATAAGTTGCCTTTGACATGGTTTTTGTCATGGCATTAGAAAAGACATCATTCATCATCCATCCATCTATCAATTTACCATTTACCTACCATACATCCATATATCATCCATCCATCCATCCATCCATCCATCCATCCATCCATCCATCCATCACCCATCAAGTCTTCAGAATTCATCCATCTATCTATCTATCTATCTATCTATCTATCTATCTATCTATCTATCTATCTATCTATCTACCTGCCTACCTACCTACCCATTCATCAAGGAAAATACTACTATAAAGGCAATATAAAAATTCATTACCTACTTGGTGAGGCAGCACACGCCTGGATCCCAGCATTCTGGAGGCAGGCGGATCACTGGTGAGGCTTCAGTCAGGGTTGTTTTTAGTCTATACTGTGGATGACTGGGACCCACTATTCCAGGACTTTCTAAGGAGATACCTCAGGAATTATCCTCTGTGGAAGGCAAGCCTCAGACACTGGATCTCACCTGCCTTCTGGGGACTCACCTTTGAAATGCCTTTGCCTTTCTGTGGAACAGTGGAAGAGAAGCTAGGCAGAAGCAGGGTCCACAAAGTGCAGCCAGGCCAGGAACTGGCCCATGCCTATGTACAGCTGCTGGGTTGAGAAATTGTTGGAGCAAATTGGTGGGCTATGGGGTAGGGATGGAATAAGGGCTGTAAACATCCCCATGATGGCTACTGACTCCTTCCTGCTACACTCCATGTCCTTGGCCTCCCATTGCCTCCTCGGCCACAGAAGTCCCTCTGAGCCAGGACACATAATGTCAAGCAAAGTAGAAAAACTGATGATTCCATCAGCTGATATGCATTTAAATATTCCGTGTCACGTTGGGGGTGCTTCTAGACTAGGATTTGAGCATAAGGCTTAAGGCTCTTGCTTCCAGCGGGATGTCAAGGGAGGCTAGAGATTGTTTCTTGGCAGACTCACAAGCTGAGCCGCTCAGGGTCTTGCCGAGGTCAGACCCAGAGGTGCAAACATCCACCCAGGCTAAATGTGCGGTGCAGATGTGGGGCGACGAGAACATTCCTTTCCGCAGCACAAGCTGTGGCCCTCCACGCCTCCCCCCTCCCCTAGGTAAGTTTATTTTCCTGACTGCTTTTACTAGATAAACTCTGCCTCAGTGTCTGGGAGGGGACTGCTCTCTGTCGAGGGGGCTGAGGGTTGTTACACAGATGAGGACATAAAGTTGCAAAGCCAGCTGTCAGGTTCTAAGACTTCTAAGAGTCCCAGAAAGGATATCTGTCCCCCTGCATCTTTGGGGTCTCATGAAGGGATACATAGATGAACCTGGACAATCCTCTGTCCATTCAGCAGACAGTTACTGAGCGCTCATTAGATGTTCAAGGTACCGATAGACCCGCACACGTGACCTTGGGAGTCCTCTCCGGAGCCTTGCTTAGCAGATATTCTCATCTTCAGATTTGGTCAAAGACATGTGGGTGGAAGTCTCTTCAGTTCCCTGCTCAGGGATCATCACACATCCACAAGTGCTGAAAACTGTAGCAGATGCCAGTCCAGTGTTAGTGGGGGTAGGTTGATAGCGGTTTCCTGTCCCAAGACTGACAGTTTACGTCATCACCGTGTGGCAGCCTGCTTCAAATGCGATATCGCTCCACATGCAGCACAAGGACCCACCCCATCCAGTCCCTGCCTCCAGCCTTTGCACATGGTTGCCGACACTCTTACTTGTTCCACCCACTTTTATTTTACCTTTTAGAGTATTTCATATCTCTGCCTCTACAACCCTTCGCTTCTGCTTTGCTTTATAAACATTGTGTGTATGCGGGTGTAGGTGCACATGTGTGTGTGTGTGCAGGTACATGTGCATGCACACATGTAGGCAGAGGACAAAGGAGAATGTCAAGTGTCATCCTTTGTCTCTCTCGACCTTGTTTATCTTTCATTCACTTATTTTTATTTTGTGTGCATGTGTTTGCACACATGCGTGTCACGGTGCAGGGGCTGAGGACGACTGGGGGTTGGTTTGTCCCTTCTGCCTTGTGAGTCCTGTGGATCAAACTCAAGTGGTGAGGCTTGGAGACAAGCACCTTTACCTGCTGAGCCACCTTGCTGGCTCCTTGTTTCTTTTAAGGACTGTATCACGGAGACCAGGCTGGCTTCGGCCAGGACTCAGGAGGGGTGCTCCTTGTAACTCACCATGGAACATTCTTAGCACATACAGATGGTCTCACCAGGATCCTAGGCTGATTCTGCAGCTCTCTTGGGTGCCAGGCTTCTCCCCTGCAGTGAGCTTGAGATATTCTTCATCTTTGTGGGAACCATGACATTCGGGGACCAAAGAGGGATAGGAAGCCTGGGTGAGGGACTCAAGCTGGGGATGGCTCTCTACTGTGGGGTGGAGCCCACTTCTTAGTCCCTAATTATGGGGCAAGAGAAGAGTCGCATGTGGGCAGGGGCCGGAGGACTGTCTGGGTGTCCACAGGAGTCTGGGAAACGGTAGACGCCAGTGTTGGGGGTGGGGGTGGGTTGAAGAGCAGACTGTGTCTATCCACAGAGAGGACCCCAGGACCTCTGCTGAAAGACCACTCTCTGGTTCCATTCCCTGCTCTACACCCTGAGGGTTACTCTGGTGTCTCTTGTACTCCCCGTCTCCCTCATGAGAGTGTACTCCTGCTAAGACCTAGCTCGCACACTCCCAATCTGCCTGCTTCATAGGGAGCATATGAACATGGAAGGAAGTCTGTAAAATTAATACAGGGATATTCTCACATCTGGGCTAGCCTCTTACCCCTCTTCCTGTTAGGCAAACACCTCAACAAGTTTGTCTGTTTTGAATGTTTTTCTTTTTCTTTTCTTTTCTTTCTTTTTCTTTTTTTCTTTTTTCTTTTTTCTTTTTTCTTTTCTTTTTTTTTGAGACAGAGTTTCTCTGTGTAGCCCTGGCTGCTGTCCTGGAACTCAATCTGTAGACCAGGCTGGCCTCGAACTCACACAGATCGGCTTGTCTCTGCCTTCGGAGTGCTGGGATTAAAGATGTGTGCCACCACTGCCAGGCTGAAAGTTTTATATCATGCAAGACGTGGCCTTCTGTGTCTGGCTTCTTCCTTCAGGGTCAGGGTTCATTCACATGGTAGTGTGGGTCAGCAATGCTCATCTACGCTTTCAGCCTCTCCTGTATGCCCTCTGACCTAGCGGGAGCTGACAAAGCTGGCAGCTCTGGTCTCAAAGCCAGCCTGGGGCTTCTGCCACCTAGACATATCCCAGGTTAGATGTTGCAGTCCTGCACCTGATTTCCAGAAGGTGGTGCTGTCCCCCACTTTATGGATGCAGGTATAAGACTCAGGGAAGCCAGATTTATCCCCAAGCTGGGAGGCAAGAGGAAGCGATGGGGCTTTGGGCCAGCAGTGTAGAAGGGAAAAACAATCAAGAAAATAGAAATGGGTTCAGGTCTCTGCCCAGGCTGTGCACTAAGTTTCGAGGCCTGCTTGGTTTAGAAGAGACTTTTGTTCAGCTCTTGGCTGGGCACCTGTGGGAAGGCCCAGGTTGGACACTGATCAGTGCCCCAGCTTGAGCCCCTCATCCAGGCTTCCTCGGAACTAACTAACTAACCACCTGGGGCTGTTCTCACCCCAGCTCATCCCACTGTTCCCAGGGAGCTGAGGGACATCTCGAGCTCACTGCAAGCGTGAAGCCTTGTACCCAAGCTTCAGAATCACCCTGAGCTTCAGTTTCCTGAGCCTAAAGGCAGATACAGGAGTCTGGACGGCATGGACGGGCTATGAAGAGCTCAGCCATACCTGCTCTGTGACTGAGGTTCCTATGGGGGCTGCAGGCAGGTGCATGGAGAGCAGCTGCAGCTCTGATTCACCCAGGGTACTCAGGCTGGACCCTCCTTGACGGGGGAGAGTGTCGTGGACATTTTGGAGGGCTCTCTCCAGGTCATGGATGGAGAAACCTGTGGGAGGGTGTCACAGAAGGACAATTAGGATTGCTTCAGTGTATACACGGAAAGGGTCGACAACCCAGGTGTGGAGGTGGAGAGGCTCAGCCAGGAACTGTAGGAGGGCAGTTTGGAGGGAGAGCAGCTGTGGACACCTGCATGAGGGGGGACACATTCAACCTTTGGTCTCCTGGCTGTGTCTTTTCTTGTTGTTAGTGTTTTGTTTGGTTGCTTCCAGACAGGATTTTTCTATGTAGCCCTGGCTGTTCTGGAATTTGCTCTGTAGACCAGGCTGACCTCCTCCAATGCAGAGATCTGCCTCCTGCTGTGTCTTAGAGTGACTTCACACCAGGGTGGAGGGAACCTGTCCCACAGGGACAGGGTGCACAGCGCTGACACCCTCTCCCTGAGGTACTGCATCCAGGGTAACTGGAGTTTCACATTTACAAGTGCGGATCTGGAAACAGGCCCTGCAGCTCAGGGGGGGTCCCTGGCTGTTTAGGCCTCCTGGGGACCACTCCTGACTTGTTTTCCCCACCCGCAGGCTCACCTGCTGTTTCTCTCCAGCTTTCTGTCCATCCACACCTGTGCCAAGGTCTCGTCCAGTGGCTACTGTGTGAGGAGGTTCCGGATCCCGGCTGCTTTCCATTCCTGCCTCTTAGGCCCCTGCTTTTCCTCCCCAGGGCCTCAGACTCCACCACAAGTTTAGGTCTGTGAGTCTCCGGGGCTGTATCTGGAGGGCTGGCTGGATTATTCCGGAAGCTGCTGGCTAAATGTTGTAAATTAAAGCAGGGGGCTCTAGGCCCTGTGGTTTATCCCCTTGGCTGCTCTTGGATGGTCAGCTGCAGTATCTGAATTACCCTGGAGGGTGCTTGGATCCAGCTCTGAACATGCATCCACACACACGCAGGTACACAAACATGCAGACGTGTGTCTGAGTCTTCAGGCTGCTGTTTGGCTTTCTTTCTTTCTTTCTTTCTTTCTTTCTTTCTTTCTTTCTTTCTTTCTTTCTTTCTTTCTTTCTTTCTTTCTTTCTTTTTCTTTTTTTTCTCTTTGGTTTTTGGAGACAGGTTTCTCTGTGTAGCCCTGGCTGTCCTGAAACTCATGCTGTAGACCAGGCTGTTCTCGAACTCATAGAGACCTGCCTGCCTCTGTCTTCTGAGTGCTGGGATTAAAGGCATGCGCCACCACTGTTGGCCTTTTTTTTCTTTTCTGTTTGACTTTCTATTGGGAAGGTCGATTTACCAGAGTAGAGACAGTACCAGACTGTGAGGGCAGACCAGGGTCATCCAGACAGCTCGGAATGTCTCCAGGTGAGGCCCAGGCAGACTGTCCCTGGGTAGGACCCCAGCTTCTGGCAGCCAGGAGGAGGCGGAGCCTGGTGCTGCAGGCAGGTTTCGTCCACACCGGGAAGTCGTTAAAGTGAAAGGGAACCGACAGCCCTTCCCTCCGAAGCTCCGCCAAACACCTCACAGTGTGGCTTTTGTTCAGGGGTCTGGAGTGTAAAATCAGAGTGGCAGGTCTTCGCTGCTCACATAGAGCGTTTCCTGGCTCGCCTTGCCTGTGCCGCTCAAGTGACAGTCTGTAATCCCAAATGTCCCCTCCCCCACCCCTCAACTGTACCTCCAGGTTCATTGCAAGAGGCCCCCGCCCCCAGCTGATTTCTCTCCCCTTTCTTCAGCGGTTGTGAAAGGCTATTTGTGATATACTCTCCTGTGTGGCTGTGATGGCGAGGCTCTCCTGCGCATGCGTGAAGGGCCTTTGTTCAACACGCTGCCCTTTTGGTTTTCAGTGTGGTATAAATAACTTTTCTCTCATTCCCCCAGTCCCATCTTTCACGTTTCTGGTATAAGAGCCACAGTGGCACTGTTTGTTCTGTCTTTGTTCATGGGGCTGGACTGATGCCGCTGCTGATTGTAGCGGGCATTTCCCTTGCTATTTCGGGATGTTTCTATTGCAGTCTTTTTCTTTTTTTTACTTTTACTTTTTCTTTTCTTTTTTATAGTATCTTGTCAAGCAGCCCAGGTGGGTTTCACACTTGCATGCTCCTGTCTCATGTTAATGAGTGCTAGGACCATGGGCACCTAGTGATTGGAAATTTTTATTTTTTAATTAGCATGCAGAATTAATTAGCTAGATGCTCAGGAGGGAAGGACACTTGCTGACGAGCCTGACCTGAATTCAATCCCTGGGACCCACGTGGCAGAAAGAAAGAACGGACCCACTGAAGTTGCCCTCTGACCTCCACACTCGGGCTGAGGCATGTGTTCCCCTCCCCAATAAATACACACAAAACATTGGATTTTATATGGCTTTTTCAATCAAAAGTTGTCTTCACTGACCCCTCTCCTCCACTGCAGTGACTTTTGTGTACGTGTGGTATATATGTGTGTTTGTGCATGTGGTAAGCGTGCATGTAGGTGTGCACTGTACACGGAGGCCAGAGGTTGACACCCATTGTCTTCTTCAGTTGCTCTCCATCTTATATATTAAAAAATATTACATTTTTTAAATCTGTGCAAATGCCTAACATGTGCAGACATCAAAGGACAACTTTTGGGAATTGGGTCTCTCCTTTTACTGTGGGACCATGGGATTGAACTGAGGTCTTTAGGCTTTGTGCCAAGCCTCTTTACCTGCTGAGCCATCTTTCTGGTCCTACCTCATTTATCTATCTGTCTATCTATCTATCTATCTATCTATCTATCTATCTATCTATCTATCTATCTATCTATCTATCTATCTTATATATAATTATGCGTGTATGCCAGAAGAGGGCACCAGATCCCATTATAGATGGTTGTGAGCTATCCTGTAATTGCTGGGAATTGAACTTAGGACTTCTGGAAGAGCAGCCAGTGCTCTTAACCTCTGAGCCATCTCTCCAGCCCCAACCCACCTTATTTTTTTGAGACAGGGTTTTTCACTGAACTTGAAGCTCACTGATTTGGCTAGACTGTCTGGCCAGTGAGTTCTAGGGATCTGCTTGTCTCTGTGCTCAGCACTGTGATTGTAGGCACACACTACCATGTCCAGATCTTTGTGTGTATACCGGGGATTCACACACTACCATGTCCAGATCTTTATGTGCATATTGAGGATTCACACACTGCTATGTCCAGATCTTTATGTACATACTGGAGATTCACACACTACCATGTCAGATCTTTATGTGCACACTGGGGATTCACACACTACCATGTCAGATCTTTATGTGCACACTGGGGACTCACACACTACCATGTCAGATCTTTACGTATACGCTGGGGATGAGCCCAGTTCCTTGTGCTTGTGTGTCAAGCACTTTACCCACTGAACCACTGGCCTTGGAGTTATTTTTATCAAAGAAAGATGAACATTGGTTCCCTAAAACATAGACCTTGGGGTTTTGTTTTGTCGTTTGGAGATGGCTGTTGTGTGTGCCATGGCTCTGCAGAGAGGTTTTAAACTGTCTCGTGGCTCCTCTGATGAGAGCACTCAGACACACGAAAGCATCACTTACAGTTTATGTCATGTATTAGGGCCTCCTAGGGAACTTTCCATGGCTAAGACAGCAGGCAAGGGATTGCGTGCCAGAACATGCTGGATACACTGTGTACCTCTAAGAGATGTCTTGAGCATCATTTGAGGCCTCTGTGGAGTCTGACACTTGTCCAAGACCCTGATGGACTGTGTGGTAATACCAACTTGGTTGTCACCTCTGTGGTCCTCTGGCTTTCTAAAAGGCATAGAGCTTTCCTTTAGCTGAGTGGATCTCATCTAGTTAGGTGATAGCATATATAGAGAGGCCCAAACTTCTCCAAGATGGAGGACTCCCTGGTCAGACAGCCACACAGGGCCTGCAGTGCTCCCAGCCTTGGGAGGTCAGCCTCCCACGTCACAGGCTCATTTCTGCATTTCTTCCTGCGGCTTCTTTCTGTTGTAGAGCTTCACTGACACCAGATGAGGGGACAGGTGGCTGGGGCTTGAAGCGCATGGAGTGGCAACCCAGGTACCCATGTGTGCATGTGTGTAGGGACTGCAGGATGTGCATGCTAACATAGGATCTACAGCCACTCAGTTGTTGCCCTGCAGGTGGATCTGCACCCCAGCAGACACATGCCACAGTGCCTGCCACTACAGCCACAATGGTCCTGAGTAAGGGTGTCTCAGCAGGGGTGAGATCTCTTGGGCAAGCCCCATGTGTATGTGGGGGTCCAAGGGTGGCTCAGGACATTTCACCAGGCTTCTTCCTTATCTCCTTTTGTGTAAGCCAGGGGTAGGTCTCCTTCCCAGGTGAAGGAGGCACTCTACAAGCACTAACTGCTGGTTGCAGGACTGTGAACAGGCTAAGCACCTCCGTGTTTTTAAAGATAGCTTGGGCGGGGAAGGGCTTCCTGAGAAGCATGAGGACTTGTGTTTGGATTCCAGCACCTGTGGAAAGCCAGGCATGATGGCGCATATCTATAATGCCAATGCTGGGGAGGCAGAGATGGGGATCCCAGGGGTTCAGTGGCAAGATAGCAAGCTCTAGGTCGGTGGTTCTCAACCTTCCGGGTGCTGTGATCCTTTAATACAGTTCCTCATGCTGTGATAACTCCCAACCATAAAATTGTTTTCATTGCTACTTCATAACTGTAATTTTGCTCCTGTTAGGAACTGTAATGTAAATACTGTGTTTTCCAATGGTCTTAGGTGAGAGAAGAGAGAGCTGTATGTGCATCCCAGGTCTTAAGGGTCCCCAGCGGCCACGCCCCAGGGGCATGTACTTCAAGGTCATAGGCAGGTGTAACTGTTACCTGCTACCTCACTAGGGGCGGAGCTTCAAGGTCATAGCTAGAACAGCCACCCACTACATCCCTGTGAAAGGGTTGTTTGACCCCCAAAGGGGTGGTGGCCCACAAGTTGAGAACCACTGCTCTAGGTTGAGACCCTGTCTCAAAAAAGAAAAAAAAAGTCAGTTTAAAAATAGTTAAGATGTTGGACCTGCCTGGACTGAGTCTACCAGGGGAGGACTTGCCCTGGAGGAGGTGGGAATGGGGGGTAGGCTGGGAGTAAGGGGAGGGGGTGGGAGGGGGGAGAATAGGGGAACCTGTGGCTGATATGTAGAACTGAATGGTATTGTAAAATAAAAATAAATAAATAAATAAAATAGTTAAGATGATAAATACATTTAAAAACTATTTTAATTTAAATTTTGTATTTTATTTTCTTCTTCTGAGGCAGGGTCCTGTGTAGCTCTGACTGGCTTGGAACTTGCTTTGTAGATCAGGCTGCCTTGAGCTCACAGAGATGCACCTTCCTAGGATTGAAAGGGTGCATCAGCCAGGCGTGGTGGCACATGTCTTGGGAGTCAGAGGCAGATGGATCTCTGAGTTTATCCTGGTCTACACAGAGAGTTCCAGGACAACCAGGTCTACAGGGAGAGAACCCTGTCTCAAACAACAACAACAAAAATCTGCACCACCACATCAGGCCATGTATGGAGTGTGTTATCTGCATCATGTGTACATCATGTGTGCATCATGTGTGCATCTGGTTCCCATAAAGGCCAAAATGGGGAGGGACATCAGATACCCTAGACCTGGAGTTACAGACAGACAGTTGTGAGCCACCCTGTGGGCACTGAGAACCAAACCCAGGTCCTCTGCAAGAGCGGCCAGTGCTCTTAACTGCTGATCCATCTCTCCAACCTCTGGTAAGTACACATTTTAACCAGGATATAAAAAGAAAAAATTTCTTGGATTCACCAGAACTCTGAGCGACAGACGCAAGATCTGGGCCGTAGGTCAGTCAACTGTCTTGTAGGATGGAAGGTGGGGCTGAACACCTATCCCATCAGGACTGTTGAAAACTTCGTTTCTGCCTCACGTCTCTGGCATCTCATCCCCCTCCATCAGCAGCTTCTCTGGGTTGCTGGAAACCTGGCCACTGACACTGGTAGGGCTAAGACTGGTGAAGGATGCTGAAGATTCCTTCAAGAATGTGGTGGCTTCTGATGGGCCAAATGGTTCATCCTGG